TTTTTTTTTTTTTTTTTCCCCCCTTTCTTTTTTTTTTTTCTCTCTTTTTTTCTTTTCCCCCCTATGAGGTTGGGGAGGGGGGGGAAAGCGAGGAGAAGAGTCTGTGTAGAGTGTAGATAGTTTGGAGGGAGAGAAGGAGGGCAAGTGTGTGTGTGTGAGAGAGAGAGAGAGGGAGAGGGAGGGAAAGAAAAAGCCCCCTTTTTACTGTGCGAGATCTTAAGGGGGTTTGGAGATCTGGTCAGCTTTCAAGAACATCTGAATCCTCTTAGAGCTCCCTGGCCCAGCTGTGAGAGTGAGTGTGTGTGTGTGTGTGTGTGTGTGTATGAGAGAGAGGGAGAGAGAAAAAGAGAGAGGTTCCTGGTGCCCCTCCAAAGCGCATTAAGGACACTCGGGCCCTTTTAATTTTAGGAATGAATGCTGATACTTGTGTTTCTTATTGTGATCCGGCTGCCATGGATTCCTACTACAACGCAGCCTCCCAGGGCACAGAAGGCTCCTCGCCTTTTAGGGCATTTCAAGCAAGTGACAAGTTCAGCCCTACTTTCCTGGCCAGCAAAGGACAAGGCTTTGGTGACAGCAACGCCAAGTGCCGGAGCCGCTACAGCCAACAGGAATGTCAGCCCCTGGACGGCAACGGCCAAGCTCCGGCCTCCTTTAACAAATACCCTCCTCAACAACCCCCCCCGCACCTCTACATGCAGCGAGGCCCCTGCAAAACCCCCCCGGAGAACAACCTCAAGCTGCAAGAGAGCAGCGGCCACAACGGAGCTCTGCAGGTCCCCTGTTACGGTGAGTCCTTGGCGGCACCGGGGAAGGGGGGGGGGGACCGGAGAGAGACACCCCAGGGATGGAAATGGTGGAGGGGGGGTGGAAAAAGGCTTTCCCGGCAGGACAAGTCCTCCCGGGGGTCAAGGAGACCTTGCGCGGTTCCTCCGCGCCCGCCGCCCCATCCCGCCGCGTTGCGGGGTCGCCGTGCCCCCTTCCCCCGCACCGGGAATCTTTATTTCCAGGCAGGGTTGGAACCCGGGAAACCGCTTTTCCCTCCTTTTCCTCCGGCTTTGCCGCGATTTTGAAACGTTTCTTTCCGAGCGGAGCCAAGGCGCTCCCGGAAAATAACTTTTTTTTTTTTTTTTAATTATTATTTTATTAGCTTTTTGGGATCGTAGGGAAAGGGGGAGAGAAACAGAAAGAGAAAGGAAAAGCCAGAGCGCCGGGATGCGCGAAACTTCCTCTGCGGGGACTCTCTTCCAGAGGGAAAAAAAAAAATAAATTAAATTTTCGAAAAGGAAAACATTTCTGGAAAAACTTCACCGAAATCTTCGCTTTGCTCCGTAGCGGTCTAGTTCCCGCTTTCCCCGTCTCTCACTTTCTCCCCTAATTGCCCCTCCCTTAATTGATTTCGGCCCGGCTGCAGATAACCCGCTCGCATCCTCTTCGCGGGTCATTAGCGGTAATTAAGACACTCCCTTGCGCCGGCGCTGGGTAAAGGCCGCCTTGAACGGGGTCGCTTCTCTCGGCGTTTCTGAGAGTGAGTTTAAAAGGCAAATCTTTTCTTCGGGGAATTAGTTTTCCGCTGTATCGAGGCGAATAGGGAGGGAAGAAAAAAAAAAAAAAGAAAATAAAAGAAAAGGAAAAAAAAATCCCCAACTCCCCAAAATAACAAATAAAACTAAACCCGCGCATTTATTTATTTTATTTTATTTTATTCTTTCCGACTGAGGGAAAGTGGAACTGAAATCTCTTCCTTTCCTGCCTTCCCCGGTGCTCCCGGTGCCGGTAAAGAGAGGTTGCCCCGGCTTTGATTCAGCGCCTCGGGGGTGGCGGGGGGGGCTGGGGGGTGGCCGTGTCCCCGTCCTGGGTGCACCGGTTCCTCTGTGACCTCCGCCGGGCAGGGACAAGGACGGGACAAGGGCCAGTGCCTTTGGGATATCTCCAGGATGTCCCTAAAACGTCTGGGCGGCGGAACCGGGAGAGGCCCCGCAACCTCCCGCAACTCGGGGCTCTCCGCCGTCGTTTTGGGCGCTTTTTGCCCTCTTTATTTTTTCTCTTTCTCCCCGTCCTTAAACTTAAAAAGGAGGCAGAGGCGCTTTTCTCCTGCCCATCTCCCAAATCTCGGCGAACCGGGCCGCTCGTAAGCTCCGTCCATCACCCGCCGCCCCACCGACGGCGCGGGAAGCGTGGAGAAGGGGGGGGGGGTCCCGCACCCCTCCCCGCATCCTCCCTGCTCCCCACAGCACCGGTGTCTCCTTTTTTTGGGGGGGGGGAAGGCGTGAAGTCGTGACCGGGCAGCCGTGGCCGGGAAGGGCAGGCAGAGCCCGCGGTGCCCGCTCTCCTCCGGGCCCGACGGGGCGGGGGTCGGTCCCTCCTGCCCCCTCCTGGGGCATCGCCCCGGGGGGGGCACAACCCCTCTCGCTGTGGGGTACGGAGGGTGGCCCATTTGGTGTTTGTCCTCCCTTCGAGTGTTCTTCTTCTCCCCCGCTCCCCCTCTTTTTTTTTTCCCCCGTGGGGCCCTTTCTGCCCACGGAGAAGGGCACTGTGGGGGTCGGGGGATCTCCACAGGGGGGAAGGGACCCTCTACTCCTCTCCCACCGAGTGAAGTGGGTGCCTTCCCCGTCGTCGTGCCGTGCCATGCCATGCCACCCCTCTCCCCGCTAACAGCACCTCTTGTTTTCCTAGATTGTAAAGCCCAGGGCGCCGATTTAGCCCGGGGTGGCACATTGTGCCCCCCCCCCCCGACTAGACCCACACGGATTTATCACCCCCAAAACCCCCACACCGATTTATTTTCACGCGGGGCTTGACTTCAGCCGGAGCCCCCGCATCCCTTGCGACCCCCGCGGGATGCGGCTGGGGACGGCGGGGCTGTAACGAGAGGCACTGGGATGCGCCGGGGGTAATTAATAGCAATAATTAATAATATCAATGACCACGGTTAATGATTGAAGAGACAGAGGCTCGCTGGTAATTAGGCAGATGGGAGATTCGCGCGGCGCCCGTAGGTGACTCCCCGCCGTCTAAACCCACCGCACCGGGCACAGCCCTGGAGTCCCGGGGAACGACACCCCGGGAACGACACCCCCGTGTCCCCCCCCTCCCCGGACTAAAGGTGATCACCGATGGGCGACTAATTAGGCTCGGCGGGGGAAGAAGGAGCCGTCCTCTTCTTCCCGCCAGCGGGCACAAGGCTGGAAGGCGGGTGGGGAGAAGGGGTCTGATGGGGGGAGCCGGGGAGTGGGGGCTTCCCTGCCGCCTCCCGAGCCCCCCCCGGGGCCGCCCCGGTGGTGTAAAGCCGGGGAAGGAGTGCGGGAGGCGGCGGGGAACCTCTGGCCACTCGCCTTCCCGGTTGCCCGGGGGAAATAGGGGATGAAAAGCGGCGGGACACCGTGGCCGGGAGTCCCTCGATTTAAAAAAAATAACATCACACTCACCCCCCCAAAATAACAATACCACCAACGAAAAAAAATTAGAGGAAAAAAAATTAGAGGGAAAAAAAAATAGACACCAACCGAGGCCGGTAAAGCGGCGGCCCCCGGCGACCGGAGCTGCCCCGGGGGCTGCTGCGGACCCCCCCGGCCCGGGGACCCCCTCCTTCCCCTCCGGGCTTGTGGAGCCCCGAGATTACCCGGTAGGAGCCACGACAGACCCCCCTCCAACCGGCGGGAGTGGGGGGTCTTCCCCCTTTTCCTTCCCTTTATTATTATTTTTTTTTTAATGTGTTGACGGTTGGTGTTTAATTTGATTTTAATTCTTTAATCGACAAGTCGTTGGGAGTTATAAAAAGCCCGTGCCTGCCATCTATTGCTCTCGGCGTCTATTTCGAGATCTAAGCCCTTCCACCGCCCCGTAGGGATAAATATAGGCCGGGGGAGAACTACGCGACTTTAAATACGCGGAAGGACGAGGAGCGGCAACAAGTCGCCCCGAAGGGCTTCCAACCCCGTGGCTTCCAACCCTGGCCCTGTTGGGGGGGTATCTCGGGGGGGTTCCCCTCTTTCCCCGCCGTCCATCCCTCCCCGCACAGCTTCCTGCGGTAAAAAAAAAAATATATATATATATATAAATTTTAAAAAAGGGGTTGGGGTGGGTACAGGTTACCCCGCAGATAATTAAAGCCGAAATCTTAATTAAAAGCCCTCAGAGCAGGTTATGTATCTTGGTTTAGGAGGGGGGGAAAGCTTTCGAGTGATTTATGCGCCGCAATCCTCTGATTTGCGGGGGGCTGAAGTGAGTTGCGTGTCTTGAAGCATATATGTGCGCATTCCCGCATACGCACCCGCGAATCGATACCTGTATTGCTGTCTAGAAATACGGCCTGGGCACAAAAAAAATATAAAAATAAAAAATAAAAAAATGCTTCGGGGAGCGCAGGGGAACGCGCTGGGGATGTTTGCTCGGAGGAGACAGGAGAAAGGAAACGGGCTTTTCTCTAACAGAGGAAATTCTTAAAAGTCGTGCAAAATAACGAGCGTTTCTTTTTATTTCGCGAGCAAATAAAAAAAAGGGCAGCCTGAAAGGGCGTTGTTAATAGACGTGCAGAAAGCAACCGCCGTAGGAATCGGAGGCTCCGCTGCGTGCTTTTTTTTTAAAAAATAAAAATTGACACTTTTAACGCGTTTCTCCCTCCTTCCTCCTCCCCCTAAATAAAAAATAAAAAAATCCTTCGGGGAGCGCAGGGGAACGCGCTGGGGATGTTTGCTCGGAGGAGACAGGAGAAAGGAAACGGGCTTTTCTCTAACAGAGGAAATTCTTAAAAGTCGTGCAAAATAGCGAGCGTTTCTTTTAATTTCGCGAGCAAATAAAAAAGATGCGGGGTGCGGGGGGGGGAAGATGCTGCTCCCCGGGAGATGCGGGGAGAGATGTTGGGGGGGAAGGGGGAGATGCTGCCGCTCTGATCCCCCCTCTCTCTCCCTCCCGTCGGGGGGGGGCAAGAGGCGAGTATAAAGAGGAGAAATCTGCGGGAGGGAGGAATGTGGGGGGAAGAAGGGGTTAGGGGACCCCGGCGGGGAGAGGGGGTGAAGAAGCAGAGAGAGGAGGGAGGGGAGATGGGGGGTGGGGAGCCGGGCGGCAGGACCAGCCCCTTCCCGGGTGTTTGCGGGGCTGGTTTGCCCGGCGAGGTTCGGGCCGTCGGGGCTCCCGGCGAGTTGCTGACGCCGCCCTGGCAATCGCCCTCTCTTTTCCACAATAGGGCCACCAGATCTGCCATTCAAGGGTTCCGGCAACCCTCCCAGGGAGGGGGAGGGAGCTCTCGCCGGGAGTTTGGCTAAACCTCGGGTTTTGAACAGACGCTCCGGGAGGTGCGGGATCTCCTCCGCGGCAACCTGCGGGATTTCCTCAGGGAGCAGGAGGCGAAGGTAGGGCTCACTCTCCTTCCCTCGGCTGCTCAGGGCAAGATCGCGGCTCTTTCCTAAAGATGTGTGAAGTTTTTTTGGGTTTTTTGGGGGGAGATTTTATTTTTTTTCGCGTCTCTTGGCTTGGCCGGTAAATCTTGGCTGGAGACTTCGCTTCGGATTCCTGACCCGAGCTGTTTATAACCCTCATGTGCCAAAGGAGGGGAAAAAAAAAAAAAAAAAGCACCAGAAGCCCCCCAAGGATTATGACTTCAGTGAGGGATCAGGCTGGAGGGGAATCTGGGGCACGGCTGGGG